AAGCATTATTTTTTCTTGAATATTGAGAACCTATATCTATAGCATAAGTATAAGCAAGCAAGATGATGGTGGTTTACCCTCATCCCTCCATCCCTCCGTTGATGGAAGTATTACAGTATATGATACCAAAGCACATCCAAGCTGTCAGAGTGCTGTCACGATGCTGATCAAAAAGAAAATTAACAGGGCGCAGAAAAAGAGTGGACCTCGAGGCCTTCTTCACACTGTCTCACCCCGTCTCACCCATCAAAAGCACCACATATTGTTTAACGTCACGAAATCGCAATCGCTCACATATCAAAGACACCCTGGAAACCAGAAAAATCTGGAAACCAGAAAAATCAACCAACTAACAATCAACCAACATACTGGGTGTCGCCGATTTTTCGATGTAGCTCCCCAGCTCTCATTGCGCTCGCTCTTCGCTCCCGCCTCGCGGCAATTCATGTAGTCGCCCGCACGGCCGCCCGTGAGCCGCAGTTGCGCCTTGTCCAACTGCTTGGCCGTCTTCCGGAGATGCTCCTGGCGGAGAAGTTGAGTCGCAAAAGACCCTGGCTGGAACTTCCCAGGGAAGTCGGAGCGACGAATCCCTTTGTCCATCTTGGCGACCCATTGGATGGTCCTGGTAGGTTTTTCATTCCCTGCAACATCCCTTATAGAAGCACCCAAAACGTAAGTATATATAATTATATATAGTTATTTACATAATAGTCGACTAGTCCATACATGTCATGTGCCACCATGGATGGACCTTTGGGAAAGACACTTAGACTCAGACGTCTCAGACATGGATGGACCTAGAAGTATGATGTCCAAAATGTTCGTTCTTGTGTAGTCTCATCCACAGGAATCCAACAAAAAATCACACCCTCTTCGCCACATGGCAAAAAAAAGGGCTGTTTTCGGTCTCCTCGGCGATCCGGTTTTCTTGGAGGACATTGTTGATGGTGTGTACCGCGCAGAGCATCGCCACCTGCCGCGCCAGAGACCCCACCGTTTGGCCTTCGGAGCCAACGGTCGGATTCGACGGGAAGGCACGGGCTGTCAGTTGAGAGCACGGGCTGGGCACCGTGACAGCCAAATGGTGGACCAACGTGTCGCACGTGTCGCACTGTGGGGGACAAACACCCGGATTAAGTGAACTGTTCGAGATGACTGCGGCTTCTAATCTGATATGGTGGTGTGAGACGTTGTTATAGGTGCCCAACCACTCAAAGCTGGAGACCTATCGAATGCGCTGCAGACCTATTGAATTCTCTTACAGTTCTCCACCAATCGAATCCGCCCAGCTTTCAAAAGAGAACCCACACCCATCGTCCCCATCGTCAACCGCACCATTCAGGCCTGCTTCTCGTGGTAAATGCCACCGGGCCCCAAGTCTTTGGGATCTGGCGGCTTTCTCGTCGTTTTCGCCAGGCTACCTGGGGACGTCATAGTCCACGCGGTACGTAGTCCACGCGGCGCACGCGTCTGGGTCGAACCCGCCACCGATGAATCGAATCGTTCATGTCTGGCGGTCATGGCACCTGGCACGAGAGACCCCACCTTTTTTCCCACCGAGTCTACGAACAGAACAGAATAGACATGAATAGACTACAGGTTAGGGCGATCAACCCACCAGGGTGCACAGTGCTCTATCGGGTGAGACGAGCCGGAGCGGCACAAAACAAAAAACGACGAGCCGGTGCGGACGTCAAAGGTATTGGAGGAATCGTTGGGAGTTGGCAAAGCCCCACCCAGATTCGGATGAGTTGTGACTGTGGGCCTAGTTTACTAGTTGGAAAGAACGTTTCTTGCTGTTGTCAAACCAACAGCTCGTTCTTCAACGAGTAGTCTTCATGAAACTTGGGTGCCTTTCTCAGAACATTCTATACTTCAACTCAACTGCTATAGCCACCACCCAGTGGTTCTGCAGTCCACCCAGTGGTTCCTTCCTTCCGCAAACCACCGAAGGCGCCAGGGCGAGAAGTCTCCAAGTGGCTAAAGCTAATGCCGCTGAAGACGATGTCCAGCCTCAAGGAGCTCAAGGAGTCTTTGGGAGCCTTCTTTTTGAGTGCTTTGGAAGGCTCAGAGCCTGTGGTGTGGGGTGTGGCCAGGGGCAACAAGAATGCCGCGCTGATGAAATGGCGGCTCCGTCTTTCATACTCTTTTCCAAAATTTTGGAGAGACTTTTTGAGATACATTGAGATACAGATTGAGCACTTCATGAACCCCAGGCAATTCCCTTTGAGGGGTAGCCCTCTCGAGGATGATTACAAAGAACATCTTCAATGAAGACCTTTCACTGGTGCTTTTGCACCAAACTCTATCCTTCTTGAGTCAGGATTGGTAGACTTATGCTTTTCTGAGTAGTTGAAATTTCCGCAGCACTGATTCACCCCGAGACTACTTCCCCCGAGCGATCTGTCCGTGAAATTCAGTCCTTCTTACGTCGCCTAGGACCCTCGGAATCCATGTTGAGTCTCGCGCCTCTTGAAGCGGCTTTTAATACTTTTAGAAGCGCTCTGGCACCGGAACTGGATGTCCGGCACCAGCCCCACGAAACCATCTCTGGCTGGAGTACGCGGGTGCAGCGAACCGGCGAACCACCAAAGCTCGGTGCCACCATGACTCATGTGGAGGCAGTGAAGTTGGGCCACCAGGGGTCAACAAAAGAAGAACCGTGCCTTCACAAACTATCATCACACGTCATCACACGAGCACACCCAAAAAGGAGTCCGTTTTTCTTGAAGCCGCTCATCACACTCTGCCAGGCACTGGCCTGGCCTAAACCGCTGACACAAAGCATAAACCGTTCCCTCGATTTCGGTCGGAGGTGCTGGCTGTGGGAGGAGGCAGCGGGGCCATAGATGGAAGGGCCTCAGTTGGAGTATCCTGAGCTTGGTTGCTACAAACCCAAACACAACCGATGAGACTGGAGTATTTGCCTGCATTGACACCTGAAACCATCCCAATGTGTGTATAAATAGATCACATCTGATCACATAATACATATTATTTTTGTTTTGCCTGGCAATGCATCCAATTCTGAGTCTCAGCATCGAGAAGGATGCTTGGGCGCTTAGCTTTTGGATTGCTCGATTTTGCGCCGCCCTCAAAATTGCGTCATTCTGAAAATGATCGCCATCATATTGAGTATGACTATGCAGAGCATGAATGTCTTCGCTAGACTTAAACAGCCAATGCTGACGGGGTCTTCCAACTCTACGTTTCCCAAATATGTTTGCGCTCGGCGCTGTTTTGTTGATAGGATACCTGTCTAAGGGGATCGTGATTGGGGGCCCCAATATAATATGTCCAGCCAAACGAACTCGCTTCTCATCCAAATCAATCGCATTGGGTCTTACTCTTCTATATTAGGATCATGCGGATATGCTGTTCGGTCTCAGCAAGTTCGAACACCCTGTCGTTCGTCCACCGTCGGTCAATCGAAGTTGTGGGTATTTTCAGGATTTGCCTCCATAGTTGGAAAGCCTCCATTTTCTTACGTAAGGCTTGAAAACATATATTGCATGTTATGGAGTGTCAGGGAAAGACTTCACCTAAACAAATTCTCAGTTGGCAAGTTTCTGACTCACTTGGGAGTTTAAGCCTCGCCAACAGCTGGCAGCTCTCTGCAGATCACCCCTGCTTGGTTCGTCGTTGACAACATCACGTCCCAGTGACACATCCAGTTTCTATCCTAGACACTCCATGTACGGAACAACGGAACATATTCCGCACATTGGGGTGGTTGTTTCAGGGGTCAATGTCATAGAGTCATAGGCCCAAAAAGGTCAGCCGTATTCCGGCCGGAAGGCTTATTCCTGTTTGGCCCTCTCTTCCAGTCCCAGAACTGTCTGGGTCTATTGAGTCTGTTGGATCTTCGGGCACAAACCGGCCGGTCTCGTCGCCAGGTTGGTGTCATGATGACGCCAAGGATCCCAATGTGGAGCCCCTGGAAGATTTCAGGAAAACAAGATTACTTTACTTCAAGTCGAGTGATCCCCACCATGACATTTCAACCCTCACCTGACAGGTGGGGAATAAATACCACCCAAAGCCGAGCCCTGGACTTTGGGGCCATTGGTTCCACCTGGAGGACCCCCCCCCGGACCATCTAGGGGTCCACCTGTCCCACCTGTCCCGGATCGAGCGACCACGTCTGTGTCCACCCGGTCCGAGGAACCCGTCTGTGGCTCCGTCACTCCAAGTCACCTGAGGTTTCATGTGCAGCGGTGCCACCGTCCGAGTTCACCGCCGCAAAGCGGCTCTCCATCGCGGAGTGCTCCCCAAGCGGTTTCGGTGGGCGTGGGGGAGTGGAGGATGGCTGACATGTGCTGACATGTGCTGGAGTAGCGCAGGAATGTCATGGGCTTTTTGTTGTTGGTGCTTGGAATTTACTGGGATCATCATGAGATAATATGAGCATACTGCGCCAAGGAGGTGTCTTTGTTAGTGTTCAAACCTTGAGTGCTGATGCATTTTCCACTGAAAGAAGCAGGTTCTTTGAACCTTGAGCCTACGCTTTCGCAGATTCAGCGGGGTTGAAACAGCATTCCTGTGTGGCTTGACGTGACAGAACAAGTACTCTTGCAGCAGCAAAGCTGTGCAACTGTGCAACTGACCCCGAGGATTCACTACGACACAGCCACTTGGAACCACCACTCACCACCTTGCGATGGAGGCTGTCAGTATATGATGCTAAAGCAGTGATCCCAGTGCAGCGGTTACAGTACCTTTCTTCCTTCAACAGTAGGATCCAAGGAAGGGGCACTACAGTTATCCTGATGTTCTACAAGGTGGTGGATGCTCAACAAACTCACAAGTCTTCATCCACCCAAAAGCAAAGGCAACCCCCCATATCTTTCCACCAGATTGACTCCATTTCTCCATCCTGCCCTTCTGAAACCCTACGCAGTCCACGCTCTCCACGCTCTCCACGCACCACACCGCACACCGAACCACCTCGGCCCCTGCCCTTCCCGCCGGCGCCCCCTTCCCAACGCGACGGAGGTCTCCGACTTCGGGCTGAGGCTGAGCCAGGAGAAACTCATCGAGGGCCTTCGTTCGACCGGCGACCGGTGACGGCGAGCCGGTCAAAGGTCTGCGGTCGACCCACGGTGTGGTCATGTGGTCCATGCAATGAACATGCTGGTCTACACACTACATGCTGGTTTTGTGAGGGGCTAAGCATGAAGATGAAATGTCAGGGTCCAACTTCCTTCCTTTTGGGCTGCGACCTTGGTTTGGCTGATTTGAAAGCGTGTGAATGAAGATCCCTAGCAGCCCTAGCACCAGGCAGAATACAGCCCTCCTCCATCTGATGGAGAGCCATCCTAGTCATACATGCCTCGATTAATCCTTGCCCTTCGCCATCCAAGTCACATGCTCGGCCATTCCAGATCGGGCCAGCTAAACCTTGGCTGAACGATTGGACGCGCAAGACTTTGGAGCTCGTTGGAGCTCGGTGAAAACAGGAAGAGCCAGCAAGTCTGTGACACAGATTATCCAACAGGGACAGAACCCAACTGTGGATGCTTCATGGGCCATGGTCGACCAAGAATGGGCACCTGATCTCAGAAGATACTCATGAAGTTAGGTACAACTTGGAGTGTCATATCCCAAACAGAGTCAAGATCTTCACAATCATGGGGGAAGCCAAGCAACCTCAAATATAATGATCTTTACAAGTGTTAGTTTTGTTCCTTTCCCGCATTCAAATAACATCAATGTTACTTAGTTCAGTTCCAGCTAAGCTTGCAGAGTCCATCTCATCAGTACCATGCGAGCTCCAAAGGCTAAGGCCATTCAGGTTCCTCTTTACCAGCCTGCGGCAGGGCCTGCGGCAACTGAACATGGCCTGCACCCAAACAGGATCCTGGCAAATGATGTAATTCCTTACAAAGGACTGAAGGGGCGGCAATTGCTGCAGCATGCCAGTGATGTCACGGCCACCCAGACATCCAAAACTACACTCGATAGTCCCTTCTGTTCGACGATCCGGAGCCCTGCAAATCGGAGAACGGTTGTCTCACTCTCATTTCACGTTGGCTGAAGAGATACAAAGAAGTCAATGATCTCATGACCTCAAAAGCATCAAATACCACTATAGTATAATACCCGTACTGCAAATCTGGATCCGCTGGCACCTTGTTGCGCATCCGAACACCCTGATTCAGGGGCCCACGGCGCGCAGTACCTGCCCCACCACCTCGCTGAGATCACTTCATCGAGGGACGAGGGCAGGATCTTCCGGCGAACTTCGCCCTCCTCCCCCTGCGGCTGATGGCCGATGGCGGCGAATCCGGGCGAAACAACGGGAGGGGGGGTTGAGCGAAACAATCGCACAAACCCAACATATGTATATAGAATCCAAAATGAGAATAGCAGAATGACTCCAAATGGGGGAATGTCAATATTTTAGGATTCATTCCCCCATGCTCTATTAAGCACCAGTCAGCTCTAGCCAGGACCTCCGAAGGCTCCAAGGACTACTTCTGTCTTGGCGGATTGGCTGTCTTGGCAGTCTGGAGAACATGTAAGATGTTGAAAATTGGAGCTTCAACAAGGGGTGAATGAAGCTTTGCTCACCCCTGTGGAAGCTCATGTAGCTTGCAAGAGCTTGCAAGACGCCAGAAGTGATTAGACTGGGAACGAGCACTCCATTGAGCACACTTTTGTGACACCTGAAAAGATCATCTTTGGAACAAAGTCTTATAGCTTCTGAATGCTTCTGAGGTCCTGGAAATCAGACAAGAATGTTTCACGGAGTTCCCCAACAAATCGGCAAAAAGTGAGAGCAGTTTTACAGTTCAGGCTATTTCCAACCACCAAATAGTTATGAAATTACCACATGCAAAGCGAAACCTCCTTAGTTGTACCTGCAGTATCATCTTTGCAAGCAAATCTGCTACTTCCACTTAGATCTGCAGCTCGGAACCGTCGCCACCTCCGCCGAAGCAGGCCATCCCGTGAAAACCGAAACCAGCCCTTCCCCAGCTTCGACCGTCTTCACGTCCACCAAGCGCTGCCGATCCCAGGCACCTGCAGGATCAAGCGGAGCTGCTCCTCGCGGAGACTTCTCAGGCGCCCCGAGAGGTTGTTCAGCCACGAGGCAAACATCAACTCCTCACGCGGAGCCAGCTGGGCTGACGGCTTTTTGGGTTCCGTGGGCCATCACGAAGTGTGTGTGTTGTGTGTTTTGGGGAGCGTGGACATGGGCTCCGTTTGTGCGGAGGGGTCATGTGACCGGAGAAGCGGAGGTGGTGGGTGGGAAGATGTTGATAGTTTTGAAGGTACCGCCCTAGAGACTCCATGGGACTGGAATATTTATCTCCAATGACGCCTGAAACCACCCCAATGATTAGATCGATATTGTCTATACATCATTGATGGAGTGTCAGGGTATTGCTAGGGACCGGTCTGTTCTCCAAAAATGATTTACTTAAACGAAGCCCGACCCCGTTGTTCCGGACGGTTCTTGTACGAGCCAATGGTCGGTACCGAGGTGTACAATGGGTGGTTGCGACAAAGTACTTATACACAAGATACAAGATACACAAGTCTTCCAACACTCAAAATACTGCCATACTATCAACGAGAAAACATTGGCCAATCCAACCACTTTAACCACTTTGTTTGTTTCACACCCCAACCTAGCCATTGCAAGCCGGCGAATGAAAACCCCAGTGCCAAGGGGGGGAATCCTGCAAGACAGCTAGAGCTTTCGAGCTGAGTAAGTTCAGCTGGGGTGCAACGTAACATCACCCTATATCCAGCTTCCCAACATCAGCAGCTCCAAAAACCATCTTCCAAACCCTCTTCCCACACCGCACCCAAAAGAAACCCGGCCCAGCCCGAAAACCACTGCCACCGACTCAACCCGCCTCAACCCGCCCGACCCGAACACCTCCCGGTTGACTCAACGGGCGCTCCCACAGTTCGTTCGCATCCAACGGGCTCTCGCCCATGGGAGATCGGAGATATGCGAAGGCGTCGGGCAGGGAGAGGCAAGTCCTGGGACCGGACGGGACGCCGTCGACGCAAGACCTGCCGACACCGTCGACGCGCGCTGGTCGTGTTTGAAGCGAAATGTTAAGGTCAGAGAGTGAGAGAGTGAAGCAACAACAAACTATATCCTTGAAATTGTAAATAATAGTATATAGTAATAACAATTTAAAAAAAAAAAAAACAATGATAGTAATAAATAGTGCTGTTTTTGTTGAACAGTTTCTCTCGTATTGAGCGGATGTAGTTCCATGCATGTTTTTTCTGTTGGTGTTCGATCGTAGAACATCGAGGCTCGGCCACGCAAAAAAGGCCACTGGACTGGATCTGGTCCAGGGAGCGAGGCATGCAGTGATTCAGTGATCTCTGGAAGTCCTCAGAACCCTGAGCAATCACAAGACAGCCTGAAATGCCTTCACAATCCTTCACATGTTCCACATGTTCACAACTTCACGCAACATTGACAAACAGAAGCCGAACCAACAGTCCGACAGTAGCTCCTGCAGTACTATACACCTCCCAGGACCCTCCGTTTGGGGTGTCTATCTATGGCCCCTTAGCTGTTAATTAAGGGATATCCATTAACCACCCCGACTGGGGATGCTGGTCCATCCAACATGTCATTCTCATCCTTCCCATCCCCTTCTCCATCCTCCCGTCCTCCCGTCCCGTGGTCCTCAGCTCTTCTCGGCGGAGCCACAGGATGCTGAGCGCGCAGCGAAACAGCACCGCGGAGCCCTCGTAGAGCACCTCGTTTCCGCGGAATCAGCGGAAGCGGAATGAGCTGAGCGGTGTTTCGCTCGAGCGAGGTTTCGGTGACCTGACCGTCTTTCCTGACCGGTTTGGGCGCTGAAAACGGTGAAGACGGGAGTGGTGAAGGACAAGACACATGGTCGTGGCCAAACGATAAAAATAGGGTTTGGATGAGTTTGGGGGGTGAAGGAAAAATTAGCCACTTTTGATGTGTGTTGAAAGTGTCCCATTGTATTCAACTGCTTGCAGATTTCACTGAATCCGGGGTTTGACCATGTTTGACCCTTTATCTGGAAAGCTGTCCCGATCTGCCTTCAACGTGAGAGTCTGGCCTCACAACATAAGATCCCACATACGGCGCTTTAATTTAGGACAACACCTGTGTTTGTGACTTTGCTTTTCATATCTTTTCCTGCTGCTCCCCACGCCACAGCTCCCCACGCCTCCCGCCTCCTCCCCCGCTTCCCCGACCCAAACGCCGGCTCCGCACTGATCTAAGACTCGGCACAGAATCTAAGACTCGGTGCGACCATTCGCCGGGCAAGGTGTTGAGAAAGAGACCTCGGTCCACGCACCACGTCGGCGCCGCGCACGACGCGCCAAACTGTGGACGCGGTTTGAACCTTTGAGGGTGGTCGATGTTCCAAAAGCAGGGGGGGGTGTCTTGCTCTTCGACCCACACATCTACATGCCGTTTTAAGACCATGGGCACCCTATTTGCACTCTGAAAATAGACCTGGAATTTTATGTTTCGTTCATTTGTCTACATTGATTGCTCTGCATATTTGTCGATTGTAGCCACAGGGATTCCGGATTCTTATAATATGGCGGATAGAAGCTATATACATATTATACATGATCACGCATGCATATACCCATTGCCAAATTTGACTAAGGGAAATTCCGTTGATGGGGACCCTAGGACCTGAACCTCAACACAAAGCCAATCCTTCCCAGCCAACCACTTGGGTTTCCGAGAAGGACGGAGTGGTTGAACGCTGGGGTTCGAGATCAACGACGAGCTGGTTCACCATGGTTAAGACGTGATATTCCCAAACACTCCATGGGACTGCCATATATGCCTACATTGGGGTGGTTTTGGGGGTCAATGTTGGCATATATGGCAGTCCCATGGGTCGTGTCTGGGATATATATGATAGAAAACGGTTCACATGTTTCACTGTCTTTCTCCCTGCGTATGACCTCTTGCCTGTGTGAGTAACATCTGGTCGGTGGTTTCAGTCCCTTGTGTTCGATCTTCAAGACTGGAACCACCGGTCGACCACCGGTCCCCCGGTCGACCACGGACGACCCGTGAACTGTCAAAAACATGTGGAGATCTCCCTGACCCAATATCGTTGATTGATACCCCCGCCCCCGCTTAAAGCCCAAAAGAGTCATAGCAGGTGGCAGGTGCCCGCTCAAATGCCAGGAGCCCACCTCAACCAGTCGGTACAGTGACAGCCCAGCAGCAAAGGAACCAGTTCACGGTGATGGGGGCGAGATCGATACCTTCGAAGGGATGGACCGGTCGTTGGTTTCGTAGGGTTTCGTAGAACAGCGTGTGAAAGTGCAAGCATATAATGTGGCCCTCAGATTTATAAACCCCCCTAGAATAATGTCTTTTTTTTCCCTGCACTGATTTATAAAGGCCCCTAGAATAATGTCTTTTTTTGGGGGGAGGGGTAGTTGTAGTGGAATATTTTTTGTTGTTATAGTTTACTTTTCCCCTTTTGATTTGCTTTACTCACCCTCTATTCCTTATTAACTTTTCCTAAGCTCTTTAGTTTTGAAGCTTTCCAAAAGTTTCCAAAAGTCAGGGCGCACTTTCTTTATAAAATCCCTTATTCAAAAGTATTGAAACACAAAAAAAATCATTCAAGCAAAGGGGGTAGTCCAGCAAGCAGCTTTCTGACATTATTTGGGGGGGGCCCTAGAATAATGTCTAGAGATTTGAGGCTTTAAATCGTTATTCCTTTTCTTTGCCTTTTGATTTGCTTTACTCACCCTCTATTCCTTATTTACTTTGCCTAAGCTCTTTAGTTTTGAAGCTTTCCAAAAGTTTCCAAAAGTCAGCGCGCACTTTCTTTATAAAATCCCTTATTCAAAAGTATTGAAAAACAAAACAATCATTCAAGCAAAGGGGGTAGTCCAGCAAGCAGCTTTCTGACATTATTTAGGGGGGGGCCTAGAATAATGTCTAGAGATTTGAGGCTTTAAATCTTTATTCCTTTTCTTTGCCTTTTGATTTGCTTTACTTACCATTGAAATTGCAGGTCTTTGGATTCAGATTTTCATTGAAATTTAAAAAGTTAGTTCTATTTCCATTGATGCATTCCCTTTTATTGTAATTAATATTCCAGATGTCTTCAACGTTAGGTTTTCTTGATTCCTTTTATTTTAATATTGCCAGAGTAGCTCCAGAGGTAGCTAGCTAAGGATTCCTTATTTAATTATCAATTGATTGATTTTCTTATACATTATTTTGGAGGCCTTGGTTGTTGGGGGGGGGGGAGGGGGTTTATAAATCAAGGGACTACATTAATATAGCAAGACTGCTGTTTCTGAACAGGCAAAGTGGGTTGGAGGGTTTGGATGATTTGGATGCCCAGACTCAAGCGATCTGTATCTTTGAAGCATGACCGATGTCACCTCCAAGCTTGACATGTCATCTAGCAGCAGTCCGTCGTCCCCTGAAACGTTCTAGACCCGTTGGAGGGTAGCGCGTAGCGATGAGAACTCATCATCCACCAAGACAGCTGCAAGACAGATGATCATTGGCATCAGTTGGCCTGCATCAGAACAGGTGGAGCCTTCGTTGCAGCTATCCTTCTCCACGCCACTGGCCCCCTTGGTCCTTTTCCGCGCTTCTTCCGCGTGTTTGTCCGCGCACGCCCCCCATGATCGCCCGACCGGCACCTTGAAGGTTCAAGTGCTCCGCCAGCTCCTCGACACGCCGTCGTCTCGTCGAGCCGAGAAGTAAGGGCCGGCGGGTGGAGCTCCGGCGGTGGAGCTCCACCGGAGCGGTGTCAGTCTGGATTGGGGTGACTTGAACTCAGCTGACTGGCTGGCAACTCAGCGGAACTCGCGTTTACGAGGTGCGAGTCGGTGGGGAGGAGGACTTGTGAAACAAGGGGACAAGGTGGACTGCGGTTGGGCTTTAAATCTGTTGCCTTTGAAAAAAAAAAAACACGAAAGACAAAAGAACACGACGTGTATACGTTCCAAAAAGGAAGGCTCAGCCTGGAAATTGGAAGGATCCATTTCATGCCATGGAAATAAGTATAATCATACCTAATGCTTCCGAAGCCTGGATTTCCATTCCGCAGGCATCCGATCTGGAGCCCTGCGACGGCACAGACCCCAGGTTTGGTCGTTGATATGGGCCCCCATCTAAAGGACATCTTGGGGCTTGTGCCATCTACTCTGAAACCGCTGTAAATCATTGAACAGCTATACTATATCTAAGACTGATTCTGGGAAAGACTGTTAATAGTACCATGATTGGATTGTCTATTTGAAAAACGAGTTCAAAAACGGAAAGAACATGTGAAGTGGATGTGATCTGATCTCATCCATCTTCAATCCATCTTCAATCCAAGCCTCGGGCATTTCCTCTGCCACCAACTTCTCCAGTGTTTTCAGGTCAGCCCGGACACCCAACATTCGCTCCGACAAATGGTCCTCGCTCAGACGAGCATGGACGAGTTGCGATTCCGGAAAAAACACACACAATCCTGGAAGATAGAGACAGCAATCGTTCCTTCTGCCGCATTGCCGCAGAATAGTTTGGGTACTATAGGTACTAGGGGTATATCATCCCATTACCATGCAGTAACAGTGGATGATGGCTCAGTTGCAGACCAACTGTTGCAGGTCGGACAGATCCTTTGAGAATAGGGCAGTACCCTCCAATGGCCCATCTACGAGGCGAGGCGCCAGTAGAACGTTCCACCTGCAGCCTGAAAGGGAATCACATGTAAACCCTTTTGCACGGGTTGCGTGTAGTAATTACATAAACAATTGCTCCCAGCAGTCACAAAGGGGTGCCAATTGGAGGATAGGAGTGCCCATTATCCACTCACTTACGGACAAAAAAAACACCCCTTTGGGACGCTTGGTCCATTTTTCAACAAACACCAGGTGTCCCGCTGCCAACCAGTATCAATGAGAATCACCATGAGACAATTATATGGACAAAGAGGCCCCAACTCTGCTCTCCAAGTACTCAGCTTCCTTTGAAACTCAAGCCACATACACACACAAGATGGGAAACTTGTTGACAGATTTGTTGAATCAAGATCTTGCTCAGGACAATCAAGATTTAGCCAACTGCATTTGTCCACATCAATTCTTGGGGTACCTCCCATGAGTGCAACCAAGAAGTGACCATCTCAGCCCATGGTCACCCGCACAGCCCAGCGTGCACGTGCCCGGCCTCAGGCAAGATATCTTCCAAGAGGCTACATAAAGTCCAGAAGGCCTGTTCCTGTGGTGACATTCTGACCAGGTGCTGGCAGGCTGAGTGGCCGGAGGAAATCCACACCATTTTCTCAAGAAGAACGCCAAAGTTGAGGGCCGAAAGTGACTGCGTCATTCTTGAGATGTAGAAATTTGCACGAAGATCAGTAAGGTTTCAACAAATACTGTATTACAAGAAAGAAACTGCTCTCAACAAACCACCCAAAAAAAGCTACATATATCGTTAAATCATCATATTATACATCCATTGACTCTCGAAGCCTCGATATTCGACTGAAAAATGGCACCAAAACGGTGGGGGAAACGAAAACGAGAACCGCCTCTTCCATGTACATCAACAAGGTTGCTGCCACAAAGCTCATCGATTGGCAGTAGCCTGGGAGGTGTCCGCAGTCCGTCGACGGAGTTGACGAAGTGTCACACTTGGCACCCGAAATCTGCTGCCATTCCATCAAGCTTTCTGGACTCATCTTCCTCCAACAAGGCGGCTTCCCATATCACCAGCACCTCAAGGACCAACGGTGTCGCCACCACCTTGCCACAGGTGCTGTGGCCTGGTGGCCTTTTGGTCCGCAGCTTTCTTTCGGTTGCGCGTGGACGAGGGGCCGATCTTCAGGTTCTTGGCGGCAAAGGCCAAGAGCAAATTCTCCAGGGCCCCGACGTCCACCTCAGTTGGAGCTGGTGTCGAAGCCCCCGGAAACCGGCCTTGTAATCCGGAACTCTTCATGGAGGTTTTTCACGCTCAGCTGGATTCGGAAGATTGGTTGTTGAGCCGAGAACGAAGTCCTCTTCTTTTGAAGGGGAAGTGGAGGAATGCAAGCTTGTGCAAGCTTCGTGCTTTCTGTAATTTGTGGATGTGGTGGGGACTTATAACAGTACTGTATGTATGATGTTTATTGGTGTTCTTTCTGGTTGGTCAAAAAGGCGAAGTTGCAAGCCGAACATGACAGAAATGTCAGGTTCCTTTATTCACTCAAGGTATGACACTTCCTGCTCGCAAGCTCCAAAAGGGCACCCATTGCTCCTTGCGGGCCCAACACGGGCCCAAAGCGGGGGGCCCAAGGCTGCCAAGTCGCACCCTCCATACCGGTCCGGTGCAAATCCGCCTGGAAGGAGGGAGTTACCAGGACGAGGACGTCAAGTCATCCAGGAATAGCCTCTATATGAAGGGCTATCTGTAGAGGATCCATTTGATGCCTCTGTTCAGTACATGCTGTGGGTCGTGAGGGGTCAGGTCTTCTTTTCATGGCTGACCCGGTTCGCAGAGGCCGGTGGTTCTTCCTGTGAAGTTGCCATATGGCGAACTAGTGAGATCTGCATAGATATGTGGCACTAGTATATGTGGCATATCCTCTGTATCAAGTGCAGGATATGTTCTATCAACAGTGTCATTCTGAGCCAATCCAATGGCTGCACCTAGAATCCTCCAATGGACTGCCCCTCATATAAACAATTTTGTGAACATGATCAAGCATGAATGCCCTCCTTCATGATCATGATTCCACTAACCACTCACACTGATTTCAGAGTAGCTGAACGTGAACCATCTTTCGACAGGTATCACTATGTATGACTTCAATCTAGCTCCTAGCTCCTGGCTTTGATGCCCTTTGCCATCTGAAACAATCTTCAAAGCATCATCTTCACCAGCACAGACTCCATCATCTCCCACCCGTTTCTGTATCGAACCGAACGACTGTGTTCTCAGTTCCAATGTTGGGAGGGCATTTCGACGGTGTTCTCGCTGCCTGGATCACACGTACGGCTTCCTCCTGGTCCAAGTTCTGCCCTGCGGCGACCAGCTCCTCGTACTTGGGGCCTGACGTCACGAGCATGGCAAGCGAGGCTCGTAGGGCTCCTGGCCCACCCACCTCCGTTTCGGTTCGGTGGGCCAGGGGTGGGTGCCAGGGGGGTCTAACCACGGAACCTGAGCATATGATATGATTGGAGCCCTGGGGAAATTTATATATATATATATTATAAGGGACATCATGGTCCTCCCTAACAGCAGATATTTTGGCATGCTCTGGCACATTAGGTCTCCATCTGCCGCATGGTGCATGCTGTCAGGTCTCCTGTCCCATCGACCCTTGCGAAGCTTACATCATGCCACATCCGTCCTCTGGTGGATCCAGTTGCCACTCTAGTGGGTAACCAGTGGTTCCGACTTCAACCCGTAGACCGAACGAACGCCCCTGAATTCCTTCTATTCCATGGATCCCTTCCTGGGATTCACTGGGTCCCGGATCCCACGCACATCACCGGTCCGGTGTCGGGTCCGGTGTCGGGTCCGGTGAAGCCCAGGTGTCCGGCCTTGGTGAAGCACCCAAACAGAGGGATGTGCCAACCTTCCATGTACAAGCAGGGTACAGCCTTTGCCGGGGCTCAATTGCCATATTCCAGGGCCCCCGGTTTGGGGTGTCTCATTATAGAGGTGATTCGGGGTATCCATTCACCCGGGGGCCCTTGGAACAGCTCCGGTTTGACCCACACCCGAAGAGCTGACGCATCCAGGAATGCCGCGGAATGCTCGTGGCGCGCCTTGCGCTCGCTTGGCTGCAGCGCCCGAGAGGAGAAACCAGCCCTGTCCTTAGGTGCTGGGGATGGAGGGCATGGAGGGACATACAGCACAGGCGGAAGGGACGCTTGTCTGAGATCCGGCACGAAGTTCGAGGGACCTGGTTCCCGGACCATCCATAAGTGCCTTACTAGCAGTAACAAGAAGCTAGTGGAAACAAGTGCCTATATTTACATGTGCTGGCATGGCATCTTTTTCCTCTCACAGCGCGTGTGAGGGACAGGCCGAACAGCCGAGAAACAGGTGGTGCTGTGTCTTCAATGCCGGGCTTCCCAAAGCACCCGACAGAGCCCTGGGACCCAAAGCATCATCCAGGTAATCGTGAACTACCACATCACAAATGAGCAAACAAAAAAGAAACTAACCCCCAGAAAATCCTGAACAGTAAAAAGCATCAACTATAAGTTGACTAAGTCGCCCCAAAATGGAGAACCCACCGAACTTAAAAGGGACCCAACAGTTCGGAGGTCGAACAATCATCCAACAGTTTCAATGTCCGTTACGTGGACGTCCTGAACCCTTGGAATGACCATTCTCCTCTCCAAACTAGAGGGTGCCATCCACTTCCCATGTTTCGAGACCAGGGAGAATAGTGAGGCCCAGCAACCTCACACGATCTTACAAGTTTCTAACCTGTGGCTTTCCCACAATTTTGGCTAAAAAGGATAAGACCATATGGCTGCATGAAGTGCTGCCATAAAGGCTTTCCCACATTCGTCCCATCACCGCTCGCTCCCCCAAGTCGCAGTCCTCCGCCCTTCCAAACGCGCCCAGAAAGCCGCCGGTTCGGCCGGTTCCGCCCAAGCGACGGCGCTGCTTGGCCTCCAAACCACCGCGGACCTGTGCAGTCACCTGCGGTGCAGACGGCGGAGCGGAGGCGGGTTAAACGAGTCGCGAGTCGTTGGGAGAAGAAGAATTCTCAGATTGAAAAGGGAAGGTGCAGGATGGCAAACGAGTCACTGGTAGATCCGAGATGTGTCTTATTTGGCATGTGTTGGTGTGGTTTAGGATGGTCAGGTGCTGGAACCATGCGGAGCCTTTGGAGTGATTGCTTCACACCAAAAACTTGTGCGCCAAATCCTGACAGAAGTCAACATGCAAGGCTCTTCTTGGGCTTGTAAGAGGAACCGGAGGTCAGTTCTCATGCCGACAACCACCAAGTCCGGAGCAAGTTGCTTTCCAAGAAAACATCAAAAGCAAAGATGAATGGATCATTGTCCAATCGCCGGCCCTGGATATCATCTATCAACGGAGTCTGTCTGTCTCCTCCTTCCAACAAAACACGGAAGTGGAACTACCCCTGTTTGCAAAGGAAGATAGTCTTCAAAGTGGGCCACGATGTACAAGAATCCAAATACCTCCTTTAGTGCAATCCAGCGAACATGACCATCTGGGTTCATCCAGGATTGTTGGGGCATACGGTCGCATACACATAGTATGCGCTGTGTTGTGTGTTGTGAGAGTTTGTTCTTCTCTGTGGGCTCCCACAGGTGTGGGCTACCTCTCACATGCACGATCCTTCCTCCCAAGTACTTGCATCGGTTCTAGGCAGTACTGCCAGGTTGATTGAGCCTAGTACTGGTATACCACTGCCCAAGTACTTGGGACGGACACCCCGAAATTCCCTGCATCCCGGTTGATTGAGCCGCCCGTTGGACTGCCCGTTGACCATCGTCCAATCGGCCTCTTTCTCGCCCTCGGTGGAGAAATGGCTCGCGGGGCGCCAGGTGTCTTCCAGCTCCTGCAGCTGCGCTGCAGCTGCGCCAGGAGTTGCTGCCGGAGCCGGGAAAAAGATACATATTCACCACGAAGGTGATTTACCTGGATTTACCCATAGGTATCCATAGGGAAAATAAAGAAGAAGCCAGCAAAATCCATAGCAAAACATTGCAAAATCCATGCCATTTCCCAGGTTTTAGTAACTCTCCCAGAATTTCGAGATCGATCCCCCCAAAGGCATCGCAGAAACTCCGACCACATCTCGAGACTCGAAGAGACTTCACGACGGGAAAACTGTGCTTCACGTGACCTCGGTCTGAACACGAGGTGGACCAAATCATCCCAAACTGCCAGGGCGACAGGGCCAATTCGTCTTCACCAATTCGTCTTCACCTCTCCAAAGGTGTGACACTTCGGTTGGACTTCACGGGACTTCGCGGTGACACCGTGAGTGACGTAGCAACAAACCACTGGCGGTGACCCATGCAGGGAATGTAACCGCGCCCCGTTTCTACCAGTCTCCAAACCAGGGGGTAGAAGCAAAAACTACGCAAGCCCCACAAGGGATACAAGAAATCAACAGAATCAAACATGTTTGATTCCACCAACACCTATACATGTTAAAGAAGAAACTCCTCAATGAACGAACATACATAAGCTTGATGCTCTTGGTGGATGATCTCCCTTTTGTTTTGAGCTTCCTAGACCCCAATGCTCCTGAATTCGATTTCTCTGTCCCCTCTTCCCGGATGTCAGTCAGGTCTTCCAGCCCAGCTCCTCGAGATCCTCCTCGTCGCAGTTCCCGATGATGGACCTGCCACCGCGCGGCCCGTCGGACGCGGAGGGAGCCGACCGGGACCCCCGGGGGGATCAAGACCCGCCGAAAAACGGCCGAAGGGGACAGGACGGCCTTTTAAAATGAACTCCTCGTTCCTCGCACCCCCAGGTGTGCATATGCCATGTCAGTGGCTTGTCAGTGGCTTTCACCAAAAAAGAATCTGAAAACTCCAGAGGTTTGGAGGGAGTGAAAAAACCATCATTTCGACAGAAATGCTACATACAGAAATGTTTTGGAAGGCATGTCCAACCCTACGAGTCCAGTGACTTATATATGCGGAACCGGGCTGGTAACAGAATAGTTAGGAACCAAAGATGGTTCCCGGAACCGGGTAGCCTACGCTGCCCCTTTGGCTCTGAAAGATGTTGGTGGTGTCCTTTTTTTGGATTGAAGGTTCAGGGAGGGCATGCTTAGCAATAATTTGAATGAACATAGATGTGTGTGACAAACAAATCCAGAACTATATGCACCTAGATCAGTCCGTTGACGCGCGATGCGGAGAAACCGCGCTCGCTTTCGGGCTGCAAAACTTCGAGGTGCGCCTCCCTGACTGCATGGTCATATGGTCGCTAGATGCCGCTAGTATGTTGAAGAGATTTTGAAGCATTCCAATCTGCAGATCACACTTGTTTTGTCTGCAAGATCAAACTCGCTGCCCTTCCGTAGAGACGGCTGCTGGCTCTTTGTAGTGTGCTCCGGTCCTGGCACGAAAGCCATGGGGGAATCGGAAACAAAGACACCAGATTTGGAGTGGCTCTGCTGGTTAAACTAGTTAGCGCACTGGATTGTATTAAGTTGTGTGGGCCCATGGGGCTATGCTCAGCTTTTCCCTCTGAGGTATGAGTTCATCAAGGGCTTGATTGATGAATGGGCCAAGGGTATGGGAGTCGTGGCCATTAGAGATGACCCAGCACATGAGATGGTAGGTTCGGATGCTGCAGAAGGATGTGAGGAGTGTGTTGAACGTTTGCACGAGCCTTTGAGCATGCTCCTAGCACAGTTTGGCACCAAGCAACCTTCGGTCCTCAAGATGCGGGTGTTTTGCAATGTCTTTAAAACATTTTTCTGTTTGAGCGGATCTGTTGTAGAGGGGTGTGCAAGCAGTACCAAGTTTTGGTGGTTTGGTGGACCCCAAGGCTGCATTCCAGTGGCTGAACAAACAGTACCACTTTTTCACGGACGACACCCTGCAGAAGGATATCGCTGCATGGTGTCAAACCCAGGCCGACAGCTTGCGAGAGCAAGCAACACATGTCATCAGATTGTGGAGAAAGGCGCACAAATCCAGCAAGACACTAGGATGCACAATTGTTTGATTCCACATATTACGGCATATGCATATACATGCATGCGCAGGTACCCTGGAAACTTGTGTACTTAAGGAGTGAACAAGTACAAAACTTGAAGAACATCCTCACTGAGCTCTATGGCGTGCCAGTTCCACGAAGCAGGTCTGATCAACAAATGCCACCGGAGGGTGGGGAGCCTTCTAGCTCGGGATCGCCTATGGAGGAGCCTGCTACTGAGGCCTCACAGGTTGATCAACCTGATCAACAGGTGGGGGTGCAGCCTGGGTCTGTGGAGGGGGGCGAAAAGGAGCCAGCGCCACCGTCTGGCAGCGCTGTTGACACAATGGTCACCTTGCCAATGCATGTTGAGGACTGTGTCGTCACACGCCCATGGATCCCCAAAAGCTCATTGCTCCGATGGTCAACAACAAGGTCGTCATATCACCCGTGCCAACAGGATAGATCCCCTGAACTCTCATGACATGACCTTTGCCACGATTCTTGCAGGACATCTCCATGGTTCCAGCAGACGCGGACTCAGAGGCAGGGAGTGCCAGTCTTTGGGGGTGTGGATCCCCATGGTTCCTTGATTCTATAGGCTGCCGGCGCTCATCCTGAACATGAACAAGCTGGACAACATGTGGAAGCGGGCAGCTCTGAGGCCTATACAGCCCCGATAAGTCTTGATTCTTTCAGCCCAAAGATCGTGAAGGATCGCCCGCTTCCAGTCTGTCCTTCAACGCACAGGCCCCAGCCAATGAAGCATTGGTTCCTGCGGAGCCGGAGGCATGGAGGGCAAATATCTTTTCTGGTCAACAATGTTTCTTTCACGCTAGGTCGTGGCGGGCTACACTGATCACCAACACGAAGACCTTGTGGAACACGACGTCGACATGTCTCAGGACCCTTTGAAGCACGCCCGCCAAAGAGTGTGGTGGATTATTTTTAAATCTAGTTATCTAGTTTGAACCTGGCAGGACCAACATGCTGCAGAGGCTGAGGAGGCTCTTAACATGTCTTGGCACTCTTGACATTCTACCCCAACACTGCTCCCAGGCCAGCGGCGTCCTTGTCCAACAGAATGAAGATCTGGCGCAGGAAGAGGTGACTTGTTCCAGTTCATGGGTTGGAAGTGAGTGTAGATTCCGTCAGGCTATTGGTACCGCGACTTCACACTGCGGGACTCCCGAGGAGTGTTTGTTGTTTTTAGCCCGATCAAACTCAAGAAGCACTTCCAAAGCGTTGAGAGGGCCCCAAATAAATAGGGACAACTGAGGGCCAGTTGGCCCTATTTTTTGCTGGTCTCCCAACCTCTTTTGGATGCTGAATTGGAGTGACGTGCGCCCATCCATGAGGAGACGCTACTTCCTGCAAACGTCCAGGAGACCTTGGACCCTGCAAACATTGAGGAGGACCACCTTTGTCTTTTTTGGGAGGGGATTCATGAGGGTAGATCCCAACAGGAGCCTGCAGAGCCCGGAGATGTGGAGGACCAGTTTGTGTGTTTATCCATGTATGCCCAACGCAACTATAGTTATGCTGCAGGAGTCAGGCAAAGGTCCACTGATACCGGGCCGCATTGATATATCCAATGTACTGGGTGCTATGAATGTTCGCCCAATCCCGTATGGTGGAAACATCTTGAAAAGACAAACTGCTTTGACGCTTTTCTGCAGGAGTGCGTTCGATGTCTTATTGGCATCAGCGATGCGCGTTGAATTCCGACCAACCTGAGGAGAAGGGAAGCGAGGGAACAAGGGGACGAACAAGCAGATACGCAACAAGGGGATAAACAAGCAGATGCGCAACAGGAACACGGGGATGAACAAGTCGATGCACCACCGGAACACGAGGATGAGAAAGCAAGCGCTGGTCCATCACAACCTTCAGGCACTGCCTCTGCAGGTAAGAGGGGTCCACGTACAGCAAAGCGTAACGCTGCCAGCGACGCTCTTGAGACAAAGACAGACGGCAATGCTCCCAAGCGTCAACGGAGGCGTGCTCCTGCTAACCAGGAGAAAGACCCTCTCGAGCCCAAAGAACCCCCAGCCCCAAAGAAAGCTGCCCCAAAGAGGTCATCCAAATCCAATGCCAAGGCAACAGAAAAGGGAACACCCACGACCACACAGCAGCAGGATGAACCCACTGGATCAGCAGGATCGAAGCCACAAAGCAAAGAGCGCAACAAGCAAAATGCAAAAGTCGAGTTTCAGAAGCCAGGCCCATTGATCACGTGTTTGTTCACATGAACACTAGCGTCCCTAGCTATATTACTTGCTTCAAAGCGGTGTTGGGAAAACAAGGAAACCGATCTGTGTGGTTTCACTGCGTACGTATATACACGCAGGCGATGACGAGATCAAGGAGCTGAAGAAAAAAATCCCCAAACTGTCTCAGTTCAAGGTTTGTCCATGGACACAATTTGCCTGCTTAGCATGCATGTTCTCTCGATCTAGAGTCAACAAGCCGAGTCTTGACACATGTGCGCAGGTGACACCTTACTGGACTCGTGGCGACATCGGCGTGGAAATGTTGCCGTCCAAACACATCCCAAAGAAGAAACCTGTTCGGGACTTTGAAAATCCAATTCAGTGCTTCATGGCTACATTGCTAGCTAGCAAGCTTAGGTGGCTTTCACCAGCCTTCGAACTCTGCCGGCTTCTGCCACGTGGGAGGGTGTGATTGACATGTGCGTCGATCTGGCTGGGGCCTCCAGTTTCTGTAGCAACACTGGGAAGTGTTGAGCTTTGTTGTGAGACGGGCTTAGGCTCAGAAGCTGGAGCAAGGAGGCAACTACATGAAGTGTTTGGAGGAATTCTATGAGAAGCTGGAGTCGCTGTCGTCTTCCAAGCCTGCACAGAATAGCAGCAATTCAGCGTAGGCGTTACAAACTACAAAGCTTAGGGCACTGGGAAGTCCCCTTCGTTGCCAAGCTAGGAGTTTTGTCTGGGGCCCTGTGAAGTGGGCCAGGGTTACAAGCCTGCAGTGTGCGTTACACAGTGCTACCGCTTGTTGGGGTTCCGATGAAAAATGTGTGTGTGGCCAGCGCATACTGAAGTTGACAGTTGTCACACACACATGTTTGATCAGTGTTTTTTCTGCCTAGCGGTGGCCAGAAGCATCCTTATGGCCACCGCGCCTATCAGACTTATTGTTTTCTCGCGCAGTGTCTTTTTGCTAGCGCAGCGAACGCTTCGCCCTGGGATTCTAGTACCATCTAGTACCCATGCCCGCTTCCCAACGCCCCCGTGGACAGTGCCTCCAGTTCTCGGCACTGGAAGCAGCATTGCTTCTGGCTCTCCAAGCGCCTCCCGTGTTGAAGCTCGGATTTGTACATTGCAGGAACGCGCAATGAAACATGCATGGTGAGTGTTGCAAACCTTGGAGAGTGGGCCGGAGATTATTTTGAGTTCACTTTTTATACAAGGATCCATGCCATCGACTATGTCATCGCAGTATCATCCGACCAAATGCGTCGCGACTCTAGGTGGAAATGTTTTTTGTTGAATATGTATTCAGATCCAAATCATGCTGCCAGGCCTAGGCAATTAGTTGTTTCATCCCTAGACTTAAGCTTGCCAAGGACTTGGTGGTGTTTGAACTGTTTAGTGGCTGGGGTGGCATCCACAAAGCTAGCTGTCGATGTCTCAGGGCCAGGGTGAGTGATCCTATATATACATGGTTGAT